TCCAGGAGATCTTCCTGCCCCAGGGATCAAACTGTATCTCCTTGTTGGCTGGTGGGTTCTTTACCACTGAGCCACCTTTATGGTTCAGTTGCTCAGTCATGTCTGACTCTTTGCAACTCCATGATTTGCAGCAGGCCAGGCTTCCTTGTCCTTCACTGTCTTTCAGGGTTTGCTCAAACTCCTGTTGATTGGTGAATATTCAGGATTTATTTCCTTTAGCATTGACTGCTTTGATCTTCTTGCTCTCCAAGGGACTCTCAAGAGTCTTCTCCAGCACCGCAGTTCGAAAGCATCAATTCTTTGGAGCTTAGCCTTCTTTATGGTCCAGCTCTCACATCCTTACATGACTACTGGAAAAACCGTCGCTTTGACTATATGAACCTTTGTCTCCTGGGAAGCCCAAAATACTAGTTTTTAAGTTTGTCGTGAGATATATCAGGGACACTGACTTCTGTTTATGGTTCAGTGTAATCTCCCCCAGTAGACAAATATACATGGAAAACTAACTATAATCTGAAGGTTTCTTGATGAACATTGAATCAGCTCTTAGTGACCATTATCTGCAAGCTCTGGTAGTATGATAATGTTCAGTTTTCCCATAGGAATATACTTGCCACTCAGACCAGATATTCATCAATTTTCAGAGCATCCTTTCTAGTAGACCAGAATGCAGACAGATGGCCAGCTTTTGCTTTCTTGATTTCTTTCTCCTTTAGCAAAGTTTTTCTGCGTTAGAGTTTAATAAAACTGCAGTAATGTAATTCAAACAGCCCAATGCCTGGCATACAATAAATGATAATAAGTGTAACTGTTGTTAAGTTCAGGTTACCTTGATATACTTTTAATGTCAAAGACAATCTTTTGGGCCATTTCTTTGGCTTACTAATCAATCTCATCTTTCACATTTTGAGTTACTTTCATTGTTTAATTTCTTTTTCTTTTAACTCCTTAATTGCATTTATCATTAGTGTTGAATCCATGAGCTAATGAATTAGGCCAATCCCTTTTGGCTTTACATGATTCTGCTATCCTTTTGTTGTTGAAATATTGATACTTTTAAAATTTAAGTTTCTTATTCTAAAATACCCCATTCCCCACAGTTCTTCCATCTATAATGTGAATCTATTGAAAGAGATAATCTTCAAGTTACTGCTCAGCTCTAGGATGTAGATAATTTTATATCTTATTTGAATAGATGATGTCAATTGTAGGCCTTTCCATCTAATCAGTTTATCTTCATTTCAGATCTGCTTAAATTCTTTCTCATAAAGTTATTTTGAAAGTGGTCTGAATTCTTAGAATAGTAGGATGACCATGGGAGTTGGGAGGCATGATTGGACAATCTAAGGGTAAAAGTACAATGGTGGTAAACTCAACAGTCAACAATAATGTTATGGATCTGGCAAAAATACACTTGAAAAATCAAATTTTGTGTATGAAAATGAGTACAGAGAGGAATAATTGAGGTCAGTTGATCTGTCACTCCAGCAACAATTGTCAGCTTTCTCCTCTCCATCATTCTGGGGATAAGTTATTCTTTTAAAAATGGCAAAATAGGTTTAGGGAAACTGGAGAAATTGCCACAGCTCTTTCTGATGTTTATAAAAATACAGATTATAGTGCATTTTTGAAGCTGGTGGTCTCATGATAATACACACTTTAGGACAGTCATAAATAGAAAACATTGCGGGAATTCATTAAAAAAAATGGATAGGTCATTTAAGACTGCAGTTAATCAGGGAAAGCTTATTAGAATGGCTGAGGGTCTTGAGTATTTGAATACATGAGAAAAGGGAGAAAACATTTTATGTTAGGGGAGTGGAGAGTCAAGTGGTTTGATGTGAAGTTTCTTAAATGAGGTCCATGAAAGAGAATTGAGGCATTGCTTGTCAAATGATAACATTTACTCCAGAGTTAGAAAAAAATGAGCCCCATGCCACTTCCATTCATCATGTAACTGGATAAAACTATTGATGCCTCTTGGTACATCAGGCTTCCCATTTTCATGTGCTGTCTCATGTCATCACCAATTTCATTTTAGGACTCTTTGGAAACTGGAAAGGCTGTCAACATCTTCAAAATAATCTCTCTCCCCTACTGTCTGATAATTACTCAAATGGTAGAAAAAGTTTGATAGCACTCTGAGGTCAGATGTGCACCTGTGATGTCAGGCATGCATCATGGTTTTCCTTCTCTGATGAGGAAGGGATAGCCACATGTCATTGTGCCTCATTTGTTTCCATGTCAGCAGCTGTTACCACCTTTCCAAGAGGTATAGCCAAGAGATGGGAACAGAATATGATGTTTTTCTCTACTAGACAGAAATTTGCTGCCTTTCCAGAGGTCTTAATTGAAATTGAAGGCGGAGGAAATAATGGGACTTGACTTTGGCTTGAAACTCTGGGAGGAATTCAGTGTTCTAATACACAGGCTGCCTTAATCTGACAAAGCATTCTATGGAATTCGGCTTTGGTTCTGTGTACCTTTTTGAGTCAAGGAATTCAACACTTACGGCCATGGAGAATAAAGTTACAATTGATTATCGAAGGTTATCTATGTGTTATTATGTCAAAGACCATATTAGAATTTCAAATCAAGCCAGGTGTTTACTGAGATTTACTACTGAGCCGTTAAAATTTTTAAATTTCTTTCAGGAAGTCACTATTTTTCCTGCAAGAAAGGATGAAGGAGGCATTCCTTTCTTTGTAAATACTGCTTTTTGTATATTGCTTATGTTCAGGAAATCAGTTTCTAGTGCAGTGAAGTATATAGTGTATGTATGCATTTCTGTGCATGCTTCTGGAAGACAAAGTCCATGTCTAATCAGAATCTCACTAGTCTTTGACTCCCCTGAAAGGTTAAGAACTAATAACTTCGCTAGTGTGGAAACAGTGGGATGCTCTGGATGAATCTGAGCAAAGGAATGACAGGAAATTAGAAAGCTCGTCTGTAGAATAATGAGATGAAAAGCTTTGGCAGGACTGAAGGGTGATTTAGGGATTCAGGTTAGCCTTAGGGTTGGAGTTATCTGAATAATCTGAAGGTAATTTTCTAGATAGAGCTTTTCAAAGAGAGGAATCTCAAGTTAATCTTTTTTGGGGGGGGGTCTGAGCACAGTGCTTGAAACATAACACTCAAAAATGTTGAAATTGCTGTACAACACACCAAATGAAAGTTGGATGATAGCATCAAAAATAAATGTACTTCTGTCTTATCTGCATTTAATCCTGCTACGTTAAGTCATTTGGTTTAAAATAAGGATTTTGGAGAGACACTGCTTTATAAAAAGTTCACACACCCTTTTTGTTCCAGCAGTTGGTTAACACAAATTTTTGGCCACTTAGTATTTGTTCTTTCTGTATGTTTATTTCTGATGATTTTTTTTTTAATTTTACAAAAATGAATGTCTAGACATGATTGTTTTATCCCATGCCTACCTACAGAGGGAAGGAAACTTGCAGGGTGGTGTGGTTGATCAGTACCTCATCCTCTGTTTAAGCAACATTCCAATAAACATCTAAGCTTGGATTTATGAAAATCCAAAATTATGGAAAAGTTAAGGAAAATCTCACAGTTCTGAGATCTGGAATTTATGTATTAATGGATCTTCTATCAGTTTAATAACAAAGCCTTATAATTCCTTTCATTTGTTATGGTGGTATAAAATTTTAGTATCACCCAAAAGATTCCCTTGGTGTTAAGTGCTAAAAACTTAAATTTGTTATGACTGGAATACCAAGATAAAAGGTTTTGACTAGTTTATTGTAATACTTTAGTTTTGCTCCCACTAAGTTCTTTCAAGTTGAAGAGCAAATTATTGAATACATTGTTAAAACATTGGTATTATCTAAAACATTTGTTCCAAAAGTGTGGTAACTTTTTTTTTTTTCCAGCAAACTTTGTGTTTCCAAGTCTGTGGAGATTACAAATCAAATTAGGTTCATTAGAAACTCAGAAAGTCTTTTTTTCACCTGAAGTAGGAATACTTAATCGAATAAAGGTATAACTTCACAGAAGACAGTGGTTTTGATTCAGTGCATAATGTTTAAGACATAAACAGCTCTAAAATATTGTGATTTACTCAGAACTTTTGAGGAGGATAAATTACTTTTCTGGAAGTCATTCATTCATTCTTAGAATTTTTGATGTTCATCACTTTGCTACACAATGTAAAACATAATTTTGAATTGGTAGAAAGAATGGGTACATAAGAATGGACTAAATGCCTTTTATTAAGTTACTTAAATTTTTTTATTATAAAGATAACTTATTGAATACAATTTGGGAAACTGTAAAGATTACCTGTAGCCTCATTGCCTGAAGATAACCACTTAACAGTTTGGAGTGTTTCCATTATTTTATACATGTATGGTGTGTAGTATGTGTAGTATGGTGTGTAGTACATGTATCCACATGTACACACATATGTATACACCCATTCCCATACACTACAAATGAGGATTAAGCTATTTTTTTAAAATTCTATCTAGTATACCTTTCCATATGAATATATCCCGGTATTCTTTTAATAACAGGTTAGTATCAACTCTTAAAACTTTTATCTCGTTGGCTACAGGATAGTCCCAGTTTTTCTTTAAATTGCTGTTTCATTTTGCCTGTTTTTTTTTTTTTTTGCTGTTATAGATATTGCAGTGAATACCCCGTATGAAAATTTTGAATGTATTCATAATTATTCCTTAAGGGAAAACTCTCAAACTAGAACTTCTGGGTCAAAAGAATTTAAGGGCTTTGATACCTTTTCCTAAATGGCTAAGAACATGTTTAATGACACTTCAGTTGGATGCTGTCTTCCCCTGATGAACACAGGTTTATCTCCTGTGTCTACGACAAACAACCTGTTGCGCAGAAATGGCATCGCGCTGAGTTGGGGTTGGCGGCTCCTTGAATTGGCGGGGAGGCGCCGGCGCGTTCGGCCTGTTTCTAACCGGCGTGTCTTTGTCTCTCTCCCTGGGGATCGCTGCCGCCCGTGCGGGCCGAAGCCTCGGGAAGCCGTCGCCCCGCAGCGCCGCCGCCCTGCGCCCGGCCGCCCCGGGGAGCCGCTGCCCGCCCGCGGGCGCCGTCACCACGCGCCAGGCCGCCGCCAGCTGCCGCGCCAAGCTCCGCGGCGGCGCCGCCCGGGAGCGCCAGCACGCCGCCCGCGGCCTCGGGAAACCCGCGGCCCCGTGAGCGGCGCCGCCCGGCCGCGCCCGGACGCCGCCGCGCTCCGCGCCGCCCAGTACCTCAGGCCTCGCCCGTCGCGCCTCTCCTCCCGCCGCACCCGCCGGAGCTCTCAAGTCCACTCTGGCGTCGGCGATCTCCCCGGGGGCCTCAGCTACCACCGCCCTGCCGTCACCCCGCGCTTTACCGACCTCTGTCCCACGCAGCCCCTCAGGAGGACCGTGTGCCTTAGGGCCGGCGGGTGCGAGGACAGCCTCCCTGCTAGTCGTTACTCGGAGAGCAGCACTTCCTCATCCCGCCTGCCACAATCCCGGCTTCTTTGAGAATCTTGCCACTGGAGAGTACCATCCTCTTCCCTCCTCCTAATTTGTCGAGTTCCTAGTCATTTCCCTTCATTATTAGTTCTTCAAAGACTAGCTCCCATTTTAATCTTCTTCACCTCAGATCCCCTCATCACAGGCTGGTGACCGCGCTGTCCGGAGTCGTGTAACCCATAACTGTGGGTAAACTTGAATTCCAGCCTCCAGTCCCCTCCTTGTAACTTCATACCCAATGACCATTTGTTCCTCTCCGAATCAGCCCTTGCTCCCAGGTTCTAATCTGCCATCCTGGGGCATCCTCTACTGGGTTTGCACCGAGGTTGGTGCGTCTCCTGGGCTGCTTAGTCTGTGACTGAGCAGAGTCGGGGTATTTAGTGAGACGCCAGACTCCTCCAACGAGCAACTTCGGCCTGCGTACTCCTCAGCAGCCTGACTGAAACTTTCTTAGAACCGTGCTACGTGAGCCTAAGGCTCTTCTTGCCCAACCTCCCTCTCCTTTTTTAGGTGTCAGACTTGCATTATGGTATGAAGACCACGTCCTGCTCCTGATTCTTTGCCTCTTTTCCTTCACAGATGTCCCCTCAATAAAAGTCTTCTAAGTTAAACCCTGCCTCCGTGTCTGCTTCTAGGAGTGGTGGTTGTTATTCAGGCACTAGGTCATGTCTGACTCTTTGTGACCCCAGGGACTGCAGCATGTCAGGCTTCCGTGTCCTTCACTATCTCCCAGAGTTTGCTCAAATTCATGTCCACTGAGTCTGTGATGCCATCCAACCATCTCATCCTCTGTCACCCTTCTCCTCCTGCCCCCAATCTTTCCCAGCTTCTAGGAGGACCTGACCTAACACCTTATCAGTCACTCCACTCTGATCACCATCTTCTTATCAGCCTGGATCCCTTGTTCACTGACAATTCATTAACTTAATTTTCCCCACTATTTATCAGTCCTTGTCACTTTCTTGTCTAGCCTAGATCCTGTAATCCATCACTATTATCATCCTCCTTGAAATATAGTCCCTTCAGTGGTCTTGAACTTCAATTTTTTTCAATTTACTTTCCTGGTAAAATCTCAACTCTGAATGAACCTTACTGTCTGCCTTCCATTGGCCTGACTGGGACAGCTGGACATTTTCTTTAAGAAAATCACAGTTTTACTTTGAATCCTTTATCTCAAACCTCAAATTGGTGCTATTGTTCCTATTATAGTCTCAGTTTCCCACTTCTATTTATACCTTTTCATCTCTCCTCAAAATTTTCCAATCTCCTCCTCCCTGTTTACTTTAAATTTCCCTTGAAAAATACATGTTACATACAAACTTTATCTTCCCAGCACAAGACCCTCCACTCCAAACCCAGCTTCCTTGGTAACCACCAACTTCCTTTTAGTGACTATGGAGGAAGTTTCAAAGGCCAGCTCCTCCTCTCAACCTTTGGATCTCAACCTTTCCTGCCTCTACAAGGACTTTTTTCTTTAGGCTTTCCCTTTTCTTCTGCGATGTCAATTTCTGTCTTGAATGAATCATTCTCATGAGCCTGCAAACACACTCCAGTATTCTTAACCAAACCTTCCCTCAGGCACATCTTTTCCATCTATTAGCCATTTCTCAGCTCTCTTTCATGACCAAACTTCTTTAAGGAATTATCCTATAGGTTGTCTTCATTTTCTGATCTTCCATTCACTTTCAGTGTGACACCCCCACCCCCACTACTGAAAGTGCCCTATTTAAAGCCTCCACTCACTTCCATATTGTTGTTAAGTCATGTCTGACTCTTTGTGACCCTATGGACTGCAGCAACCCTGTCCTTCACCATCTCCTGGAGTTTCCATATTACCCTATCCTATCCAAAAGGATATTTTCCTGTCTTCACCTTGACCACTCCCTGCTTCTTTAAAGGTTCTATTTTCGTATTCAAGACTATTCTGTCCAGGTTTTCTTCCTGCTTTACTGTTTGCTCCTAATGTTATGCTCTATCTCCTGCCTAACTTTGAAAAGTTGACGGTTTTTGTTTTGTTAAAACCTCCACTGGATCCCTTTTTTCTTTCTATGTTCTTTCCCAGGAGGATCTTATCAATTGCCATGTATTTAAGTACTGGCTTTATGCTAATAAGTTACAAATGTATGATTCCTACTTTGATCTTTAAGTTTTAGACTCACATATCTAATTGCTTGCTTAATTAATATCTTCCTTTGATTGACTCAGATCTTTCAAACTTAACATGTCCAAAATCTAATTCCTCATTCTCACCCCAAACCTGTTTCCCCTGTTACAGTACAAAGTGCCACCATACAACCAATTTCTCAAGCCAGAAACCTATATATCGTGCTTGATTCTTTTCATTTCTCCCATATATCAAGTAGACCAGCATAATATAGCCATTTGGTCCCCCAAATGTATCTTTAATGTCTTCTTTTCATTTTCAATGCCATCACTTAATTCTAATCACTGTTCTCACCTGATTATTGTGACAGCCAGCCTACCTGTTGTCCCTACTTTCACTCATGACCCTTGACCCACTTAAATACATTCTTTGTAGAGTGGTGACAATGACCTTACTCCTCAATTGAATTGAGTAAATTGTAAGATAAAATCTAAACCCTTTATCATGACTCACAGAGTCCTGCACAATCTGACCCCCACCTATCTCTCCAACCCTATCTATGCTCCTCTCTTATTACCCACCATGATGTAGCCACACTGGTTCCTCCAACATGCTTTTCTGCCCCGCAGGGGCTTAGCGAAATTGAAAGTTGCTCTGTTGTGTCTGACTCTTTGTGATCCCATGGACTATATAGTCCATGGAATTCTCCAGGCCAGAGTACTGGAGTGGGTAGCCTTTCCCTTCTCCAGGGGATCTTCCCAACCCAGGGATCAAACCCAGGTCTCCTGCATTGCAGGTGGCTTCTTTACCAGCTGAGCCACAAGGGAAGCCCCAGGGGCTCAGTAAATGCTGTTATCTCTGCCAAGCTGCTCTCCTTGGTTAGCCTCTCCCCAACAACAACCCTTAGATAACTGCTTAAATATAGCATCTTTAAAAAGGCCTGCCCAGAGCATTGTTTGCAGATAGTGCTCACCTCTCTCTGATTTGTTTTCTCACTTCTTTGTTTCTTTGAATTCCTTATCTCGATTTGTACAATTATTTGTTTATTTACTTTTTGTGTCTATGTTTCCCATACTGGAATGAATGAAAGAGACTGTGTCTGGATGTCTAGATTCTTCAACATTGTGTTCCTAGCCTGAAGCACAATACCTGGCACATATTAGGTGAACAATAAATATCTGTTAAAGGAATAAATGAACACATTTGCTAATTTTTCTGTTGGGAGTTCATTTTTTATTGATTTGTAAGAACTCTTTATATATTTAAGTCACTAACCATTTGTTTATTCAATATGTTGCCAATATTTTGCCCCTTGTCTTATATGTACCAATTTAATTTGTAGTATCTTTGATATACAGAAATGTTACATGTTTTATTTAGGTAAATCTATTTGTCCTTTCAAGATTTTTTCTTTTGGTGATATGTTTGAAAAAGTCTTCTTCCAGCTCAATGTTATATAAATATTTGTCTATTTTTTTCTTTAATTTTTTTTTAGATTTAAATCTTTATTCCAAGTGGAATTTATTTTTTGATATAGATGTGATTAAGACTCTAAATATTTATTTTGTTGTCACATCATCACTTATTGAAAACTCCCTCTTCCACTGTTTTGAAAATTCTACACTTATCAAAAATTAAATTCTTACATATACTTTGAGTGGTTTCTGGATTTATTATTTATTTGCTTGTTTTTTGGGGGAGGGGCATCCTTCTATTCCTGAAACATGTTTTAATTATTGTCATTTTGTAATCTGCTTTATTGTGTGATTAACTTTTTAATGGGGTAAGCATTACTCTTCTTATTCAAAATATTTTCAGCTATATTTGTGCTTTTATTCTTCCAGATAAATTTTAATTATAGTTTTCTCAGTTTCCAAAAGAAACTGGCATTTTATTTAGAATTGCTTTAACCTCATAGATTAATTAGGGGAAAATGCCCATTGTTGTAATAGTTATTTTGCCATTCAGGAATTTGTCACATCAGGATTATTGAAAGCTTCCTATATATTTTTCAGCAATTTTGTAGGTGGTGCTTGTTTCTTGTTAATTGTATTATTAGATATTTTATGTCTTTGTTGGGATCACATTCCTGTCATGTTTTATAACTGGTTGCTCCTTGTTGGGTCAGGCTATTGATTTCTGTAATTGGTAACTTTTCTGTACTCTTTCATTAATTTTTCTAGTTGATTCTCTTCTAAGTAGACAATCACTTGAAATATACTTAATAGTGATTTTCTCTCTTTACAATATTAATACCTCACATGTTATATGATGGTATTAATGTTAATTTTGTTCTTATTCCTGACTTTTTAGGAATACCAGTAATATTTCACTAGCTTTTAATGTTAGCTGTTTGATTGAAATAAGGTCTTTATCAGGCCAAAGAAGTGGTTTCCTGGTTCAAGCATTCTAAGCATTTTATTGGAAGTTTTTGCTGAATTACATTAAATGTATTCTGGGCAAGAAGAGATGATCATGTGGCCTATTGTTATAATAAATTACATTAATAGATTTTCTTAATATTGGATTATTTCTGTATGAGATGTATCCTGTTTCATCATAGTGGGTTTGTTTTCCTCTTTCAGCATAAT